CTTCAACTATATGACCATTATTTCGTCGTTTATATATTGGGTAAGAATTAACTCCATACTTTGTGCATTCTGAAAAGTTTTTGGGGTAATTAAACTTACATTTTTCCCTACTTTTCATGCAAGGGCAAGTTGGGTCAAGATCACCGCAAGGTCCATGCATCATGTGGTTTTTTACTAATCTATGCAAATATTTATTACAACGATCAGGTGGTTCAGCACAAACAATTCTATCAAAAGCTTCAGAAGAATATATTTTTGAATTTCGATCTAAAATAGGCAAAAAATGAGCATGGGGAAGACCCCGTTTCTGAAACTCAATTACATAAGTATAAGCCACAATCGTACCAAAGATATTTTTATGAAGCAGTTCTTTTTTTAAGACATTTAATTTTGCAGAAAATACCCTAGCAATAATATCGGGCCTATTTTGAGTTTCATCTGACTGTAAGCAAAAATTCTTTATTTCTGGCCACTTTGGATTTGCAGTCATTGTTAAGAAAATATCTGGTTTTCCATAACGCTGCACTAAGATTAATGCATTTATGTATCTTTTACGCATATCTCTAGGTCCTCCAATAAATGACATAGGTAATAGTAAACGCTTGCCTACATCAGCACCTTTTTGACACCCTTGTGCTATACCATCTATGACACCATGATATATGTCATTTCTTAAACGATTCTGCATTTCATCAGTTTTGTAAAATTCTAACCTTGATGTTTCAATTTTAATATACATATCTATGACATACTGTTGCAGAAGTCTATCAACATGTAGTAAGAATGACCTATCATTTTCCCTAACCTGTAATTTATAAGAGTAATACTCACAACATGAAACATCAGTTCTTGCTTTTCGTCTCTTTTTTGCACCTACATTGATTAATTATTTTTTAGTATATGCAATTAGAACGATCATTCATAAAACAAACAATTTCAAAACAAAATCACCTTCATTTTCAGCTTCCAAAAACTCTTCTGCATCAATGAAATTCTCAATATCGTGAAGGACCTCATTTCTACAGGTTCCATCAGATGGCACATTTTTTTCCACTACATTGATCCTTTTAATTCCTCGATGCCAACCAGGCTCTCCGTTGGGAAATATGAGAGGATATTGTAAAGGATCATAACAGCCAAACTATTGTTTTATAATCTAAGGTTTATCATTTTTCTGTGAAGATGTTGCAGGCCTGTCACTATTTTTTAGGTAAATCTGAATATGCTGACTAATAGTTTCTTGTTCATTATCAGACTCTGACCAAATAGCAGCAACTTGTGATGTAGCAGGTTTATTAAAAACATTATTATCAAATTTCGGGTCTGCATATAAGGCAATCTTAAATTCTTTCAGGTTTTTAACATCATTAAGGTTGCGGAAAAAATTGCCATATGGATTTAAAGTCAAAACATGCATTAATATTTTAATGATATTTTCTTGAAACCTTTCATTACTGATCAGTACTCTATTTGAAACTTCATGTTCTGTATCATAAAAATACAGTTGAAGATTTATTGGTTTATGACCAACTGATGGTATTAACTCATCCATGAAATGATAAAGCTGACCCTGGACACGAAAACTATAAATTCCATGATCTCTTCTAGCCAATGATTTATCATAATGCACACCTAACGATGTAAATGCAAACATATTGTTATAGCTTTGAATACAAGCCTGAAAATGTTTACATTCTTCATAACTGCCTGTATATAATTGTATTAATGGCAAAGGCATCACTGTCTCCGGTAATTTTACCTCCCCAGAGGAACAGCAAAAACCGGGCCTTTCAGAATACAAAGACTTCGCACCACAAAACTTACAATCCGCTACATCAGGCAACAAATCAGAAGTATTTACAATGCATTTTAAAGGATCATCATCAATTTGGCCTATAGTTATTCCTCTGTGTCTACGTTCAGTTCATTGACTATTTCTTACATGACTACGTTGTTGAACATGATTATATTTTCTTTTACCCGCCATTATAATTAAATACACCTAACAATACTTTGGAACAAAAAAGAAAAAAAAGATAACTACAACGAACAGAAGAGATCAAAATGAAATGAAATGCACTTAACAATACTTTGAGAACCAAAAAAAAAAAAAAGGATAATTACAATGAACAGCACAGGTCAAAATGAAGTGTCTAAACACTGTAATGCAAACTACCTTTGCAGCAAATAAATAAGCGCACAGAAAACAGAAATCAAAACAAGTATAGAAGAAGAATTAAAACACTTGCCTGCTGATGGATGAAGTTGAGGAAGTTGTCATTTTTAACCAAGTGATTGAATCTCAAAGCAGTTTACAGAACTCAACAGAAAGCACTTCTGACAAAGAAAATATAAAATTCATTGTTAATTTTCTTTCATACCAAGAATAAAATACCTAACACATCGTGAATTTATACAGCTTCATGCAACAATAACTTTACAACAGACTAATATTAGTTGTCATGAATTTGATAATTTTTTGATAAACCCTAAACCATACAAGCCTAAACCCTAAACCATATAGAGATAAATTGAGACAAAGAAAAAAAATTTCTTTTTTCATAATTTTTCCACATCACAATAGTAAGGAAGAAAACTTGCAACTTAAAGCATGCAATACAAAACGCCTCACTTCCAGAAAATCAAAACTAAGAAGTCTTACTAAAGTACACCAATTATAGCAATAAAAGCTTTCAAACAAGAGTTGGCTAACATTACAATCAATTAAAGAACAGAATTTGTTAAGGTTGCAGGACCCTATTCGTTAACCAAGTCAATTTTTATCGCTTGCAATCTAATCATTCTAAGAGTTTCAGTGACATCCAACAGCAACTGTGAAGGTATGTCAAAATTTCAGAAGCAAAAAATTTGTATATGTTATTAAAACTTGCTTAGCATTGTTGCAAAAATAAAACCCGATGGTAAATAAAAGAAAAACGAGGAGGTCCCAAGAAAAGCAAAAATAAAAAACAGACTTTGAACAGGCATGTTGGACCGTAACATGTCGGCAATGGAAGCAAAAGCAGAAAAGAACAACCAATAAAACTGATAATAGAACATTTTCAATTAGAAGACTCATCAAAGATTAATTTTGACTACAAAGGCACATAAATGAGAGAAATAGAGCAAAGATTAGGTATAAACATGTGATCATTCAGAACCAATTCTTAGATCTCATTACTTCTCCTCTGATAACCTAGTACAATACAATACAATCCTAGGCCCTTCTTTATGTATAAATATATTTCTTTCGCTGATTCAGTGAGTACAAAAAAGAAGAAAGTGTAGTTTTATGGCTAGATTGTTAAGAATGCTGAGAAGAAATGGCACATATCAGCAGCTATATATACAAGGTCGCTTAGGACTGTAGTAAAAGCATATGCTCTAGTATACACTTACTTTTCTTTCTTTTCTATTACTTAATCCCTAATTTTCTGCATTTTTTATTTACCACTTTCCTAAGGACACAATTTTACCACTTTTTTGATCTTTTTGTTCAGCATATAAATTATATTAGAGGACCAAACAAAAGGAATTCCTCTTAAACCTATAATAATCAGGAAATTATGTCAAATTTTGGAGGAGTCTGCACTTCTGCAGATAAAGAAACTACATTTTACGAGTCTAGTCATCAGAAAGCATTAGTGACACTCAAATAAATATCCACACAATAATTTAACCAGCAAGTTAAACATAAAAACATCATCTTAATGGAGAAAACTACAATGAGAGAACTCCAAACATGCTTTCAAAATCAGTCTTCAAAATCAGTCTTCAGCATCATTCACTCTCTCAATTCACTATTTTTTGATATAATTAACCATAACAGGAAACTGCTAAAAACCCAAGAATTCAAACAATCCACAGCAAAACCGTGGAAAATAAAAATCAAATGATTAGAAGTCGAAAAGAAAGCAAAAAAAAAAAAAAAAAAGCACAAACTGTGATTAGCAGTCAAAAAGGAAAAACTTCTATCCATGGAATCGCAGTCGAAAGGAAAGGAAAGCAAAAATCAATTGATTAGCAGTCGAAAAGAAAGGAAAAAAGAAAAAGAAAAAGAAAAAAAATTGAGAGCACAAACTGTGATTTCAATCCATGGATTCCGAATCTTATACAGTCAATCATCAATAAACAAAAACTTCACTTGGATGAAAAACCAACCTTGTGATTCCTTCAAGAACAGAGGTGCTATATACCGCCGCCTCTCTCGAAATAGATAGATGAACACAGGCTAGCCAAAATCCAATTGATTCGCCCAATTCGGAGTTCAGCAAAAGCAAGCCAAATGGTAGGTTTTTCTGGGTTTTTTTTCGACTAACCAAAGGAAAGTGAAGCAGATTTCGTACAAACTTTGAATTTAGTTTGCCCAAATTGAAGTTAAACATTCAGAATGCAAACGATGGGTTTTTTTCCGGGTAACCCAAGGCACCAAATGGTAGGCAAGTGGTGGCACATTGTCACAAAGACACCTAGCAACTAAATAATTTTTTAATTCTATTTGCTCAATCAATGTAAAACTGGGTGTACACAAGGCATGGGCAACCGCCACTATACCGTGCCACACCACCCTTAGGTATATGTAGATATATATATCTAACAACTGTTTAATTCTTTGGCCTTTTTATTTTTATAATAGTTTAAGAAATAATCTCATCACTACACAACACTTACTCATTGGATGAGAGACATCTATTATATCGTGTTCTAGTCACAGTCTAAGCACCAAGACAATATACAATCTCACTAAACCGCCTAATCTCTTTCAATAATTTTAAGTACGCGTTGTGTTACTCAATAGGAACGAAGAAAACGAGACTTTATTTTAATTAGTTCATTGTCAAGTACCGGAGATAATTCGGAATCAATGAAGTCTAGCTAGGGTAAGTGAGCTATAAAGTCAAGCATATTTCTTAGTCTTTGCCACTCAAAAATGATTGATACTTCTTTAATAAATAATAGCCAGAATTTCCAATGTTAAGTTTGTAATCATCAATCTTTGACTAGTTTCGAGTACTAGGAGTCTTCTGCCACTCCTGAAACATGGTATGTTTTCTGTGTGTTCAAAAATGTACTCTTCTCTGGCACTGTAAATTAGGCGATGAAGTACAGTATGGTGAAGACTAATATGACATGTTTCTTAATGTTGCAGGATGTAGAGAACGTTATTTTAAGTCATCAACAACCAAAAAAAAAAGGGTGGATTCAGGGCTTATATACATTTGTGTTAGGTGAGCTTTTTTGTAAAATCTATGGCGCGCGTTGTGATCCGTGAACAAAGACATGAAAAAAGTGATCTTATTAATTTGCTCATGTGGATGTGTTGCAGTTTTTGACAGCTATGGAGAACATTGGGTTTGTGGCAAATATGTCATCACTAGTTCTGTACTTTCCATCTTGTGATGCAATTTGACCTCTCTGCTTCTGCAAAACACACTAACAAAGTAACAAATTTCCTCGGATCAACTTATTTTGTTGTCCATACTCAGGGGTTTCGTATCGGATGCTTTCTTGAACAGGCTCTATGTCTGCTTAATCTTTGGCTTCTTGGAAGTACTGGTAAGGCCACTATCTCTACTTTGAGCAGAGGCATGCTGGTTTTAATTGTCTTCCAGTTCCACATTTCAACAAACTGACCATGTTGTGTTTTCTTGGTTTTTTAGGGGTTGATTATTTGCTCTTTATACAAGCATATTCAAAAAACTTGCATCCTGATCCCTGCGACGAATCAAGCTGCTTGGGCCGAGGTGAAGCTCTCATGTTTTATTGTGCTTAATCCTTCTGGCTTTGGGTGCTGGTGGTGTTAAAGGATCCACGGCGGCTCTTAGCGCGGATCAATTTAACCGAAAACATGAAAAAGAGGCCAGGCCATTAGCTAGCTATCTCAACTCACATCACTTTAGCATTATAGTGGGATCAGTAATAGGAGTTACAGTTGTTATCTGGGTAGCTATGAACAAAGCCTGGTACTGGGGATACCTGTTAGGATTGATCCCCACTTTCATTGGATTCGTGATTCTCGCAATCGGGTAGCCTTTCTAGCGCTTGCAAACTCCAAGCACTCTCCCCATTCTTCAGATAGCTCAGAGTTTTACAGTGCATTGACACAATTACCTTAAAACACTTGGGGAAATTCGTCTTCCCCTTAAATCGTCTGAATTTTCCTACGGATGTTGCTCTGTTTTCCAGGTTGTAGTTGCTGCAATCCGAAACAGGCATGTGCCTGTAACAAAATCCTGGCAAGTTACACGAGACAGAAGATAAAGAAGCTATTGCGCACACCAGCCAAATCAGTAGTTCAACAATCATGAACACTTGTAGAGTGAAATGGCTCGAGGAATGATTTGAGTCTCCTCATGTATTGTGTTTAATCTATAAGAGATGTTATTTGTAATTTTATATCCATACACAACATTCCCCACAAGCCATTATACTCATACAGAATTCACTATTTCCATCTTTATATGATTATACGAATATAACGTCTAACGTGTGGCCATATATCTGACAGGTTGCTTGACAAAGCTGCTTGTGTTCAACGAGGTTAGATCCTCTGCCGTGGAAAGTATGCACACTTACACAAGTAGAAGTAAAGATTTTGATAAGGATGCTTCCTATTATATTCTGCACAATTATAATGAACACATGTATGGCACAGATGCAAACATACTCGGTTCTTCAGGGATATTTCATGAACCCACACATAGGAGGATCTTTCAAGGTTCCTTCAGCTTCAATCCCTATAATTCCCCCTGCTTTCCATGGCAATCCTTTTACCAGGCTACAAATTCTTCTTCGTCCCAACTCACCAGCCTTCCATCAGGTATCACACAGCTTCAGCGTGTCGGAATAGGCCTCGTACTCTCCTTCATCTCAAAGAAGGCATCAATCACTGAAAAATCCATTTAAGCCTATTAGTCTCTTTTGGCTGTCATTCCACTACGGCATCTTTGGGATCGGATTAATGGAAATTCTTTCACAGGGAAGCTCCCAAATGGACACGGACATGTTCAGTTTGATGGAATTCTTTTACAGGAAGCTCCCAAATGGATGAAATCTCTATACATGTCTTTCGTGCTCCTATCGCTCTCCTTCAGGTACTTTTCGAGCACCATATTTTTCTAAGTTCCCAACTCTGTTACCAAGAAAGTTACATTATACCAGGCAAACGAGCAAGGTCCGAAGCACCAGATCTCCAGATTTTAACCATACTATGTTGGAACTTTTCTTCTGGTTTTTGGCCATTTTGAGTTTTCTCAACTTTGTAAACTACCTCTTCTGGGCATCACGGTACAAAACAAATGCAGATGATGCAGCTACAACACATTCCAGAGCAACATTTTGCCTGCTAATGAAGTTTGAGCTGTTCACATTTACTAGATGTTTACTTATGAAGAAGTTTAAAACATTACTAGATGAGCTCGAAGAAGTTTAAAACATAACTAGATGAGCTCAAAATAATTTACGCCACTTCTCAATCGACTCACTTTTCCAGTCATACGTTTTCCAACATACAAGTAAAACGTGAAACCCTGAACAAAAATTGTCAGTAGCACTAAGATAAAATTTATGTCAAAGACATCCAACTCAGATGGAAAACCACTGCAACACATAATTAAAGACATCCAACTGACGCAAGGACTCTTGCAGGCTTCACACAGAATGAACAACTACAAGTCTTCAACTTCCCCTCGACTGAAAATAGAAAGCATAAGCACAATAGAGGATTTTCGCACGAAAAGCGAATTTAATTTACTACGAAGAACAATTGTCAGGCACCTGATGCAACTAAGCCAGGCAAAAATAACAAACATCAGTTGTTCCAAGGGAGAAAAGACCAAAATAATGCATAGGCAGACCTGCAAGCATGGCACTATGTACCATCTACTAATAGTACTCTACGAATTCCAACTTAGAGATGAACACCTAAGATCAATGACCTGAAAAGGTTCGCACCCAAAATATTTACATCATTTCAAAAGCTAATAGTTTAAACAGAACAGCGGTAGTGCCACAAGTAACCCTTCAGCAGAAAAACATAGAACTGCTGACATTCTCCTTCAGGCGAGGCAACTGCGGCACAGGGACTGATCCAGCATGCGACACCCCACCACCATGACTAGAGGAAGTGTCGGATGTATCCTCAAACTTCATCCATTGACCAAGCTGGGTTGCAGCCAGGTGGGCATAGCAAACTGGGGCCACCACAGAAATTGCAGTTGTGCTTCTCTGATAACTGCAGAGAGAAAAAAAACAATTAGGACCTAAACTTTTCAGAAATGTCAGTGAAAGGTAAAACATGATCATCCACACTTAAATTCAAGATATTACTTACACATATGATAATGAATGAACCAGCTCCTGCAAGTCATCAGGTGAGAAGCCCGCCTCATCATACAACACATGGTAGTGAGTGGGCCTCGAGGTTCCCTACAGAAGTTATTTGGGGTATATTATGAACAAAGATAATCATAAATGCTAGAGGCTCTCAGAAAATTGGTACAGAATGTTTTTTTTTTCCTATTTGTCTATTTCTGTTTGGATTAGATCAAAATGCAAGTTCTGAAAAATTCAAGGTGAAACTCGAAGAAACAACTTGTCTATACAAATTTTAATTTCAAAATTAGAGCACAACCAAGCATCCAGAATAACAGAAGACAGTGTGACAAGCACATGAATTAAGTTTAGGTAGGGAAACCTAAAAAAAAAAGTCCATAAAACTATTTACTTAAGATTGTTGTAGAGTTGAAAATTAATATCAACCAAGAAAAAGAAAACCACATGAACAGAAGCAAATGTTTCCTATAATGGCACCATAAAGACAACGAACAATGGTTCCACAACTTTTATGGAGTACTTACAATTGCCCCATTATGCGCACATAAGTAGAAGTCGTAGTTTCTCGGGTGACAGACTTTGTTATCAATTATAGTACCTGCAACAAAAAAAGATCCTTAGTAAATGCAAATACTAGTTCTTCTCTTTCATTCCATAGTAGCGCTGCTTTACCTGGGGGAACATTGTCGGGAGCATTTGGCTGGAAAAACTTTGTATGATGATTTTTTTGGGCCACAATGACCACAAACTTGGGATTCCATTTGTCATCAAGAAACTTGCAGGCCTGAAAACATAAACAATAACTAAGACCACTTTCAAGAAAAAACCATGTGCTGGCCACAAACCATTTCTACAATTGAAATGAAATATGTTGTGTTCCAAACCTCAATGATCTGGTCAAGTTCAATGTTCAAGACTTGATTAAATTGTGATTCACTGACACCATCTCTGAAAATTACACAAGATTTGATCAGTCCTCAAAGCTTTGGAAAGTTCCAGCTTAATAGATGATCAAGATAACAGAAGGGGGAAAAAGAAAAGATTCCCCCAAAAAAATGCCACGACAGCGGCATACCACTCTCTTCAACTAAATGAGCGCATACCTGAAAATGACAATCAGTTCCGGCTTCCTTTTCCCAGAGCTAACATAAAAATCAATCAGTGCCTCCCTAAGATTCAAGAAACAGATCCGGTTAAGAAAACACTCAAAAAAAATAAAAACATCATTAGGAAGACTGACCCGCCAAAGAACAGTTCCTACTTTCTCTAAACATTTATTAACTACAGTTACATAAATCTTATCATTTCATAGAGCTTGGCAAGAACTAAAAATAGAAATCATTATTGTTAAAAAAAAAATTGAACCCAAACAAAAATTTCACATGCTGAATGACCCTGTTCTGATTAATGGATGCAAGCAAACACATAGAGATGACAATAGAAGAAAAACTTATCCAGCAAACCAAAGGTCAGCTTGATCTGACCTCCTAGGAGCTTACTTGAAAATCAAGTGAAACCTAAGATTGCATGTCTAACAAAAATAAAATGTTACCGGTAAATAAAGATTCAAAGCAAGATCTACTTGTTATGTTCAAACAGTACGTTTATAATAACTCAAGTGCAATTCAAATCAATGTAGTTCAGAAAAACATGACCTTTCATTTTCACATCTCTAAACTCTTTTACAGTTCACTCTAAATAAGCAGATTTAGACAACACGCCCACAAATTGATTGCTTTATGATCCTCACTTGTGGGGGAATCGCAATCACAGAACTTAATCAAGTCTTGAGGTTTACCTAATTGTACCATCATCTTCAGTGTCAGATACACGTTTAAAAAGTGAATCAATCATTTCAAGCTTAGGCGATTGAGTACGGACTGATGCTCTGTATTTTGAAATCAACGGCCACTGCCTAGAACTGACAACCTACAATAGAAAGTCCAAAGAAAATGGTAAGATGAAACACAGAAGCCCTCTCACTTCATTGCAGAGAACTGACACACAATCTACAGGGGCAGCATAAAGACACAAGATACCCTCACAGTATCCTAATTGAGTTCAGGCGATATTGTAAAAATCCACATAGGCTAGACATAGAGCAGAAAACTTTCTAAGTGAGAATTTTACCGCAGCAATTGATGGAATATCAGACTGCCCAGGAGACCCATGTGAAACGTCCATCCCAAGAATCATGGTGGTCACCTTGGATACAATGGGAAGCGTAGCAGGATTTTCAACAGCGAGCAGAGAGTTCAACCCACCAAGCTGTCCACATGAAAGAGCATTAAGCATTGACAGATTTACCACACAAATGCTTCAAAAAAAAAAAAAGGAAAAGAAAAATAGAGAATCCAATAAGGCATATGATTTTGAACCTTGGCATTGACTTTAAGCAGAACATTGGTCAGATATTGGTCATTAACTTTGCCAGGAGCAAGGCATTGGGTAACAATATCATAGTCTGCAAGGCACTTTTTCTTCCAGGGTCCTAAAAAATGCATCAAATATGCATTAAAAGATCAGTAGAACATTGGTCAACCATCATAATAACTATCCATGCATAAGTACAGATTTAGGAAATCATAAGTGTAGTACACAAGGCAGGACCAACCATATATATCACAGTTTTTCCTCTCAGGTAGCAGGCAAAGGAGGAACTTAGGTGCTCCAGGAAGCCTCGACTGTACCAATTCAAACATCTTTTCGACTCTAACAAGAGGTGGAGCACGTCTGTTCTGAGGACTCTCCTCAAAAACGTCAAAGGGATCCTCTACAGACTGAAAGAAAAAATAAAGTGATGAACAACTTAATACTTTTTTGCCCAAGAAAGGATTTGCTTACAGCCAAAGTGAGAAGCAAAAAAAATAAACTACATACAATTCCTTTGTTAGCGCCACACTTGATGAAATTGCTGATTAGTGCATTCACATCACAGCGCTGGATGGAAAAGTTTACAACGGCCCACTTCTCAACCTTAGCGGGTTGAACTAGTTTCTGCACATCACACCAGAGGGAAAAACAAGCTTAACACGATTTCATTAACCAAGTTGAAAACAATTAAATTAAAAGGGGAAAATGTTAAGATGGTACCTTATAGTTGAAATTCCATCTTCCATTTCGATTAACAACATCATCACCGTTTCCACATTTCATCTGGCACCAAATAGACGGGTAAGCGAAATTTTGACCTCAGCACCAACAGTAAGCACAAGAGTACAAAACATCTCATAACTCTGAATAACATAACTTCATACCCTCGGAGGTGGAAGAACGCGGCCATCAACCTCAGTAAACGTGTTGCTGATTGAAATTCCACAGGCTCTCAGAAGAGGCTCGTTATCATAATTATTGATTTTCAGTGCCTACCACAACCAATCCCCATCAAAAAAAAATAAAACAATACAGCAGAAAACTTCAATGTAATTAACAGATAGGTAAGTAAAACTTACACTACTTAAAGTGCTCATCCTCTCTTGAGGCCTTTGCCTGGACTTTTCAACTAAGGAGGCTCGTTGAAAGTTGGTTAGAGCCTTAGTGTACCTCTGCAAGGAAACCAGATCGCAGAGCTGCAAAAGAAGCAAAATTAATCACTGTAAACAGAACAACATCTAACCCATAAAAACTGCTACAAATCAAACAAGACTCACTTCAAGAGGTATATAGGTTGGCCTCTTGGGTTTTCCAACATTAATACAAGGAAGTTCAGCAGAGTAGCGCAGTTCTATCCTTCGATGATTTACAAAGTAGTCATAGACGCTAATTTCTGTTGTCTGAACCTCACCATCATCACTCTTCTGCTTCAGGGGGAACCTAAGGTTAGAGGGAAAAAAATATTCAGATGTGCAATACCAAGTGAAGAAAGTACAAGTACTACTAAATAGCATTTGCTATACATTTGTTCCTTGCAGATTCTTTCACTGAGTCCAGTTATCTTATATTCTTGATTTGAGGGACTGGCTTTCACCCTCAAGTTCTTCAACACTCGCTTCGCCTGGTCATATCAATTTCATGTAGCATTAAACCCAAAAACTAAGTGAACAAAATCATGATGACAGAGAGATAACACGTAGTTAATTTACTTTACCTTAACCCAGTCAAGGGAGAAGGGATCTCTTGCCCCCTGGCTATCAATCAAAAAATCCACAACAGGACCAGGCTTGATTATCATGGTAGTAGACACATCTGAAATGAGAAAATACATATTATACTACATACTAATGAAAGGAACAAAATCATTGTCACTATCAGAAAAATACTATGGGGTACCAATATTGTCACTCATGAAAGGAACAAAATCATTGTCACTATCAGAAAAATACTATGGGGTACCAATATTAAGGGACAAGCCTCCCTGAGAAGTTCGAAAGCTCGAATGAAAGCCACGGCAGCCGAGAACACCTCCTCCCACTTCAACAAAATTCCTAGGCTCATTGTGAAAATAAGATTGCCTAACCAGCAGGCAGCCCCTGTAAAAAAAGCACATTTTAAGTTTTTAGCATCACCAAGTAGATTCAGCACCAGTAGCACACCAATTACATGATTTTCACTTACAGTTTTGCAGCATGCTGCCGCAAAATTATATCCAACACTCTAAGAGCTTCTTGAGAGTTTTCTGATTCTTGGCCACGCAATGCATTCCCAATTGCCTGCATGGGAATTTTGGCAGCATAGCTAATCTCAACTTTGAATGTTTTAGACTGATAGGGCCGTCTCATTCTTTTCCGGTCACTATCATTCGGACTCCCATGGCCATCAGGACTAGCATTTCTAGTATTCCTGCGCAAAAGGAATTCCACTTGAGTAAAAAGAACTTGAAAACTAATGAATGGACAAGGGAAATCAAAGTGCAGCACCTGCTAGAAGCAAAGTCTTCAAGCACAACTGTAAACTCAAGTTTGTTTCTTGGCAACGGACCAAGGGTGAACAAGCTCTTCTCTCCATCATATGCAAACTCTTTATCATCCAATTCCGATTTGTAGGTTTCATGAACCCTATCAAGAATCCTCCTACCTATCCCCTTAGCATCCACTGGACGACCATCTTCATAGAATAAAGCAACCTGCCAGACAAATGAACAATTCAAAAGTACATACCCCAAAGCACCAACAACAATATGAGCATAGTAATATGGGAAGTCACATACACTATAGTGAAAGAACTGGCCCTCAGTGTTCTTCACAGAAACTTTAAAATGATTAGTAAGCAGTTGAATCCTCTGCCCTTTGCTTCCCAACCCACGCCTTGCCATGGGAACACGAAGCCTCTTCTTCACTGGCTCTGTTTCAGCTTTAATTGGAGTAACATTTGGGGGTACTGGTGGAGGAGGTGGTAAAGCTTCCACAGAAGCACCATTCTTATCAGACTCAGAACCATTGGTTTCATGTTGAGCCCCATTAGCATTATGCTCCTGTTGAGCCCCATTGGTTTCTTCATTTTCAGAAGAATTCATCCCCTCGGCTGCAAAAGAATTTTCATAAAGTACAAGCGGAAAATCAGAAAAAGGCTGGTATTGAACAACCACAAACAAAGAAAATTTGAAACTGAAATGACAAGACACGCAAACATTCTCAAAGAATGCTAGCAAAACTATGACTAGCTAGATTATTCAGGGATAAACAAAAGTCACAGGCAATCAAATAAAACAATAAAACCAAGTACAGTGAAGACAGCCTTTCCACCAATACTATAAACAATTGCCAAAAAAAGCATAATTTCTACTTCTTCAAGACTCAAACACAAAAGGCTACAAGGTCAACAAGCACAAAAAACTCAATCTTATGCTATCAGACCAGGGGACTGAAATCTGTAACCAGCATACAATAATTTCTAGAGATCATTAGCCAGCATCAGAAAGTAGGCATTCGCAAATCACAAGGACTCAAAGAAACACTTAATGCAGCTGTGCAAGAGTTCTGTCAAACAAACCACTACAATCGTCTAATGCAAACACATTGGGTAATACAACTCGATCCAACCACCCATTAGCAGCATGCAAAAAGAGAAGGTTCTCAAAATCATTCCTCAACAAATTAAAAAAAAAAAGGCAAACACAAGTAACAGGAAAATTATGCTTTACATAGACATAAAAAAAAGCTTTCAAAACTTTAGTGAAATACATATGAAAAACAGGATTGAAAACACTGAAGTGACCTCGCTACAGAAACATTTACAAGTGCCCCAAGCAAAACAATGTTTCAGTCTGCTGCAACACTCAGGCCTTACAATTTCCAGAGATCAAAGGGACAACATACAACCAAAAGATTAAGTTGACACAGGCAGTATGGCACAATTTATGTTAAATTCAGAACAAATTTTAACCATAATGTGGAGCACAACTCAACAATTGAACAGCAGAATCATGCAGATCAAGCAAACTATTCAAAAGGGATAAAAGACAACATCAGATCACATCGGAGCAAACAATGACATGTAAAGAAAACATGTAATTGTCTTCAATCAATCAAACTGAAATTTATGCCAAAAAAAAAACAGAAACCAAAAAAAATAGTACAAACTTCAGTTAAAAAATCAACACAAAAGAGAAAATCATTTAAGGGTTTTCCTTCTTTTTTCACAAATATCCACAATAAGATTAACTTTTTCCAGAATGTCATAAATTTTACTGAAAATTCAAAGAAAACAACACTTTAGTCAAATTGGGAAAACCCGGCAGACACTTGGGATTTTTTTAACAACAAATTAAGTACAACTTCTAAAAGGAAAAATCTAACTGCAAGGTTTCAGCAAGAAAAATCACAATAAATTTATTCATCATTATCTAGGACGGGTCTGACTCCAAAATTAAACAACAGAACAGGCATGCATGTTAGAAAACAAACAACCAAAGGGAGAAAACAGAGAAAGCACGGGGAAGATAACATCAAAAAGCAGTAAAAGAATTCAAAAAGTGCACATTTCTGAGAAAAAAAATCACAGAATAAGTGGGGTGAAGGGTTTTCCCCATTCTTTCACAAAAATTCACCAGCATGTTACATATTGACCACTAAGATCAAACCTTTTCCAATAGAAGTCTAAAATATCACACAAACAGAAAAGAAGACACAAATTTCAGGCGTGCATGTCCAGAAAAGAAGACACAAACGGGAGAAAAGACCACAAACAAGGACTAAAGGGGAGCAAATACGAAAATTAGCAAGGGGCTTAAAGTTTATCAACCAAAAAAGTACATATCTTGCAAAACGGCACAGCAACAATAATTTAAGTACACATTTCTGGGGGAAAAATGAACACAAAAGGGAAAACCGGTGAAGGGTTTTTCTCCTTTTTTGCTGAAATTCACCAGCATTAACCATATGACCACTAAGATTAAACCTTTTTCTAAAAGCCGTTGAAAATTTTACAAGAACAGAGAAGAACCCCAAATTTCACCAACAAGACGTACATAAAACAACCACTAAAAAATCCTGGAAAAAAAGAAAAAATTCAACCAACCGACCAAAACGTTTCAGGGTTTTTACCCCTCTTTTGCACAAAAACAACCCACATTAACGTTTTCCTTCTAAAGATTGAACCTTTTCCAGACAAAAATTAAAAATTTCCAGTCAACCAACAAAAAGAAAACATTCAATCAGTCACAAAAATAAAAAACCATTCCATCAATACCGATTATTTCTCCATCAACAACAAACCCAACAACACAAAACCCATTAATCCACCAAAATCCACATACCTTCTTAAACAAAAACAGCACGAAAAAAAGGGAAAAAAACAAGAAGAAAACCCTAAAGAAAAAACGGAGAGAAATTTTAGAGAGAGAGAGAGAGGGGAATTCAGTAAGAGTAGAGAGTGAGAAGTGAGGAAGAAAAGTGAGGAAGGAGGGTGAGTATTTAAGGTTCTGTTTTGACAGCTACTATTGACGAGGCGGGTAGTGATCGTGTACAGCCATGGTCATGTAACACACTGTACTGCTACATTTCCAAATGTTCAAGTTTTAAAGCACAAGGTACTAGTGGCATACGGTGTTGGGTATATTCCGGGTGTATTGGATTATTTTCACCGCAGGGTAAATAGAGTCCTCCTTTAAAGCTATGACGTTTTGGGAAGCGGTGAGGGTAACTAACGCCTGAGGCCCATAATCCACGTGTTCCTCTCCCACCGCTTTAGATGTTTCCCACTTTCTTCTCTTTCTGAGTTTTTTATTGCGCCTTTTGAGGAAGAAGGAAAATAAAAATAAAAAGAATCTTTTGTTTTGGATAAAAAAAGAAATATTTATTTGGGAGTTGGAAGTCATACAATGTAAATAATAATAATAAATAAAATTTTGTTAAACTATTGTAAAGGACTCAGGATAATTCAAGAGTCCACAGTAGGTAAAATTAAATACTTCTGTTTTAGTCCGTGAGGGTAGGAATGTTTTGGAAGTTTATTCCAAAATGTAATTCATTGTAATTTAAGCAATTTATTATTGCCTCCTTGGTATATATTATTTAAAAAAATTAACATTTCTTCCGTCTTGAAATAATCATCGTATTAAAATTCTACAAAAAACAAAAATCAAAACAAGACAAACATTTCAGGACGGATATGATAATAGGTACACCACCCGAATGCAAATAAATGAAGAACTTACTATTTTTGTTACGAAAATATATATCTTATCACTTTCTTCGTACTATATTATATAATTGCTGAATAAGTTTTGGAGTTTGGTAGTTCTTCCCACATAACTTATTTATTTTGGTTAATGGTTTTGCATGTAATTGGACAATGTTATAGTCTCTTATTTGATTTGGTCAAAAGCATTTTTCAATAAATATTTTGTCCTATTTATTTCATTATTATTTTACTTATTACCCATTAGCTTTTATTTTATGATAAAAAATCACTCCCTTATATCTAATTTTATATAATAAATTATCCTTAATTATCAAACAATATAATGACCCTTTGATCTCCCTTCCATTAATCTTTCATTTTAAGGTTACAAAATAATTATTTCTCATTATTAGGTGAATTTGATAAGTCTAAAAACGTTTAATGATTCTAACTGTTAATTTCAAAAGAAAAAATGATTGGCCTAAAAACGACTTTCGGAAATTATAATCTCTTCGAATTCCTTATGTCTTTTCTTCTTCTCTTTTTTCTTTTTGAATTTAATAGGTTTTTTAATGATTCTTTTTTATTGTTCCATAACTCAAAAGAATATTAAAAGTCATGTAGCATAAATTTACATACATATAATTCGAAAGGGTGTAAGATTTAGTCATTTCTCTCTTTCTCTTTGTTATTTCCCTTTCAAATCTTTATTTTTACCTCTCAATTTCAAATCTATCAGAGATTATCATCTTTTGCTGCTCGTCTCCATCTTTTTTTTTCCTTCAATTTTTTCTTTCTCAAATTTAGTTTTAGTTTTTGATATTTTTTTCTCTTCTTTTTTTTTAAAATTGTTTTTTTTCTCTTATGGTAATATATAAACTTGATTTATTTTATTTCTCACTGGTATTGTCTTTTTATTTTCACAATCAGAATACTATATATTATCTCCGTTGAAATAAGAAGTGACACATTTTAGTGATATCATTTTATTTTTACGATGTAAGAGTATAGACTTTTAACTACCGATAAATTTGTTAACATATTTTGTAGAAATGTATCAGACAACAATATAATTTATTATTTTAATTATTAAAAATTTTTATTTATTTTTATATTGTACATTAAATAACTTAATTCTACATAGCGTACGCGCGAAGCACGTCTAATCCATCTAGTGTTTGTTAATTACGTTAAAAAAGTGGATTTAGTAGCGCACTAAATGATTTTTTTCCATAAAATAATGCATCAATAATTTCTTGAAAATTACCAAAAAGATAGAAATATTAAAATGTGGAGCATTCCTTTTACGGGAGTATCGAATCTTTTGTGTCATATTTGAGTTTCCTATTACTTGCGACATTAGTTAAAAGTTCTTGGAAATAACAAACAGGAGGAAAGTGAAAAAAGCTCAAGATTACTCCAATTGATAATTTGCTACCAAAAGAAATAGCAAAGATTGGCAGAGTTCAAAGGACAGTGTTGAAAAACAAAGAAGTAACTACGGTACATTACGAGAAACAAGGGAAAGAAATGACTGAAAGAATGTGATGAGGCCAAAGTAAGAAGGAAGAGTGTATAATAATGATACTAGATCCCCTGATACAGGGACTAGTAATCATGAATATACTTAGCTGGAATGTCTGGGGACTTAACAGTCCCCTGAAATACAGAGAGATAGGATCAATTCTCTGTTAATCAAGTTGGAATGACATTTCTATTAGAGACAAAGCTAAATGCAGGCAAAGTAGAAGAATTAATGGTGAAGAAATGGTATAACTATGACTACATTAGCAATCATAGACAGGATGAGAAAGGTAAAATTTTCCTAGTAAGGAGAAAAGGTAAGTATAAGATGAATCAAGAACAAGCTGAACAACAATGGTTGCACTGTAT